CCACCCTAGAATCATCCAGGGAGCCTAAAAAATATCCAGGTCCAGGTCCAGGTCCCACCCCTAACTGACAAATCAGAATCTCTGGAGCCTGGGAATTTGTGCCACTTACTGCTCCCCAGTAATTATAATGTGCAAATGAACTTTTTGAAACCACTGATTTAAGACAAGAAGGTGAAGGGAACTTTGCAGAAGGGATTGTAGACACAGATTTCCTGATCAGGATTGATAATGGCCTGATGTACAAACTGAACTCCCAGAGTGTCCCCCAGGAACTTAAACTCACAAGGAGTTGGCCATTCTCTCAGGTTCACTACTCCCTTTTGCCTTAAAGCAGATATTCCGATCAAATAGCTAGATGTGGCTTTCAGAGGATCCTGTGTGACTTTACCTTTCTATGTAATCTTCCTCCGTACTTTTTCCAGGTGATGTGAGGGAAAGCAGGTGTGGTCAAACAAGCATTTATGAAGAAGAGTGGTTACGGGTAGCTCCCAGCACTGACACAGAGCAAGCCGCGTCTTTCCTCTGAGCCTCCAGCTGACCCCTGTAAAATGTGTTGGTAGGGTTGATGTGGAGGCTGACAAGCATGGCAGTGATGCTAGTTAACTTTTACAGAGCCGTGTGTGCCAGGCCCTAGACTTGTGGTTTACATTCACCATCTCATTTAATCCACACAGTCCCTGGGAGTAATATATGAATCTCCATTTACAGGTGCATCTACTGGGGCTCCCGAGAGACAAGTAGCTTGCCCAAGGTCACCAACTAGCAAATTATATAACCACAGCTGGCCTCTGGAGACCAAGGCCTTCCTCACTCCACTTCATGCTACTTCACTACAAAGCAGTCTACATCTCCTTCTAGTTTTAACACTCTGTGATTCTTTAACTCACATTGGCTTTCTTTCCCCTAAGAGACAGGGTAGATTGCAGATTTCAAAAGTTTTGGAGGGGCAGCAGTTTTTCTGAAAGTTAAGGCAGGCTCCTGAAGTCAGTCTGAGGTGCACAGAAGGGGAAATGACATCATGAGGTTTCCTCAGCCTATTCCCCACAGGTGCTCCCCTGAGGGCTTCCAGGAGAGACACAATAGCTGGCTTTTTTTTTTTTTTTTTTTTCCCCCCCCCCCCCCCCCCTTTTTTTTTTTTTTTTTTTTGCTTTAACCTTATGTCTTTGGTCTTTGAGTTCATAAGCTCATGTAGGCCAACAATCAGAAATAAAAATCATCCAGAACCCACATGAGATGCTCAGGGTCTGCAGGGTCTGCTTAATACGGTAGCCAATAACCACATGTGGGTATTTATATTTAAATTTAAATGAATCAAAATTAAGTGAAGAATTTAAAGTTCCATTCCTCAGCTCTACTGGCCACATTTTGAGTGATGTCAAAAGCCACACTGGTCACNACATGTAATCTCACCTGGTTAGGATGATGGGCGCCTAATTGGATGGTGAGACTTGAGGATCTATTACTTGCCAGGAAGATTCTGGGTGGTATTTCTTAGCCATGTAAAGTTAACTCAAATTCTTTTCTTCTTGTATTCTATAATTTTAAATTAGGTAAATTTAATCTCTCGCGTCTTGGCTCAGCGTTCCTGCAAATTAAACATGCAACTATTAATGAAAATAATTTCCCTTTAAAAATATATCCTGAAACTCGATGTGGGGCATTTCCAATATATCCATAAAACAAACAAGACAGCTTAATTGTTTGTTTCTCCAAGGGAAGAAGCTAAACTTGGAATTAATTTGGTTCAGCCTGTGAAACAATTCGGTTGCTCTGCCTAATTCTGCCAATTAAAGAACTTTTCCCAGCCACAATTAGCATGTAAATCAGTGGCCGAGCGAATCAGGGGCCTCGGCGACCCGGGCAGGGCGGAGGTGCCTTTCGGGGAGCCGCGAGACCGCGAGGAGCTCGGGCGCCCAGCTCGCTCGGGCCCCGCGCCCACCGGCCGAAGCCTGGGTGCAGAACCGCGCAGCCGAGGGCGGAGCCCTACCGTCCCGCCAACGCCCTTCCCCGGGTCCCAAACGGGCTCCAGGACCTCCGGGAGCCGTCCCGCGCCCGTGCCGCGGGAGCCCGTAGCCAAGCCCGCGGCCCACCACGTTCCCCCAACCTCCAGCCAGCCCGGCGGCCTCCCAAGAC